CCGGCCGCCGGGGGTCCTTGCCAGAGCGGGGACCCCGCAGAGACCGGCCCGGTCCCCAGGAGTCCCCGGGACAGGTGCGGCCGCCGCGCCCCGGTTCCCGGCTGCGTGCCCCGCAGCCGCTCGCCACCCTCTCTGAGCCTCAGTCTCTTTCTCTGTGAAACGGGGGCGTAGGCACCTCCGCGCGGGGGCCGTGAGGACGGAGTGCGATCGTGCTGAGCGAGCCTTCGCAGACGTCGTGCTTGCGACACCTGGGGCCCTGGTCTGACTTTCTGGAGCCCGCTGCCTCCGCCACCTCCCCCAGGGGTTTGGGGATCTCGCAGCTCATCCCTTCCCGATCCAGATGAGGAGTCTCCGTCCCGGGAGGTGCACAGCCGGGAGAGCACAGGTCCCCCGGGGCGGGTGCAGGACACTGCTCCAGTGTGGCCACGCCAGCGACTGGTGCCCCAGTGTACTGCTGTCCGAGCAGCTGAGTGTGTCCTCAGCAGCCTTCTAGGTGGCCTTGCTTTAGAAGACAGCAGTAATAAACAAAGGCTTCTTGTGAACACTGAACTAACCAGAAAATTAAATCACTATGTGCCTGTCCCCCGAAGGACGGCATTCATCTCAGCGTGGTCACCAGGGGCTACTCTCCCACGGGACCTGCTTGGCCTGTGATTCTCTGGATTTTTCAAATTGGAGGAAATAGAATGTGAAAGTCAGAATCCAGAGGTGTCATTATGGAGTTTGGAGTCCCAGCCCTACCACTCAATAGCTTTAGCTATTGATAGCCCTGAGCATACCTTACAGGAGAAATGTAATTAATGGTGAAATGTAATTAGTGATACTTTTGGTCTGTAGTGGGGAGTAAATGAGTCAAGCATTGTTAGGCATTGTGCACGGCAGAAAGTCAAGGTGGGTCCGTAGTTGTTACGTGATTATCATGGTTAGAGATGCAGCTGGGAGCGTACTTGTCAGGCACAGGGCTTTGCTTGTGTTGGCTGTTGGCACCACAGACCTGGAACCTCTCTGTGAAGTCGGTGTAATTGTGTCTGTGTCTCAGGCCAGGAAGTGAGAGTTTGGAGGGGTTAAGAGTTGGCCTGGTGTTGTTGCTGCTAAGTGACAGGACCAGAGCTCTTACCTGGGTGTCTCCAGCGCCATTTACTTCTCCTGTTCTGCTGCCTGGGGCCTTTGCTCTTCTTGGACCCGGTTATGACCTGGGCGGCCTCTGGCGTTGCAGGTTCATTGTGCCTGCGTCCCTCTGTGCCTGTGCTTGGATGAGCGGTGACACTGGAAGGGGGGTGTCCCCTGGGTGAGTTGGGGGTGAGGTGTTCAGAAGAGGCAGCCCAAGGAGCCAGAGGCCTCCCTAGGCTTGCATGACCAGACCGCCAGCTGGGTGAGCGACTGCCGGGGCGGGGCCCGGAAGGCTTGGTTATGAGTCGGGTGTCCCTGTTTAGCTGCTGGGAAAAGGACCTAAGGAGCAGCCCTAGAGGGACCCAGCATGCCGCAGCTTTCATCCTGCTGCCTGTGAGATCTCACGCTGCTTCCAAGATCTCTTCCATAAAATAGTTGGAGAAAACGGGGCTCTTAGTTCTGAAAAGTGGCAGTTTTATAATTGTGTACTGATGACTTCATCTTCTCCGCACAGAACCAGGGCAGCTGGGATCACGATCACCCCAGGTGCTGCCTACACTCTCCCGGGGGCAGGAAATGACCACAGCTTCCTAACGGGCAGCTGGTCCTCACTGCCTGGCCAGGCGGGGAGTAATTACAGCAAGAAGCCTTGGGTTGCTAAGTTACCGGCTAGGACCTGTGATTTGCGCTCCCAGAGCCATGCACACCCGTCTGCCCTCGAGGTCTACCCTGCTTCCCTGCCACCATTGTTCTTTCAGGTCTGAGACCAGATGAGCTCAGCACTTAAAAACAAGGACCCTGGCAGAGGCAGTCAAATCCTGGAGCTCCTGCTTGAGCTGTGAGGTCTTAAGCAAGGGACTTACTCCCCACTAAGCCCAGGTTTTCTGTGTCAAAGGAAATAGGGTTGGGGCGCAGCTCCATGGCGGAGCTACAAGGAAGGAGTGTGGAAGGGAGGGTGGAAAACACCAGTACCTGCTTTGGTACTTTTTATGAGGCTTAAATGATACAGGGCAGGAACGGCTTGGGAGACCCTGGCACATAGTAGGCGCCCAGCGAAGTAAGACGGTGGTAACACTGACCTTCACCCTCTGCCCCAGAGCCAATATCCTCTTTTCCTTAGTGAGCCTAGGTAGGGATCCATCTTTTTTTCCTCCTGGTTTCCCTTGTCTTTACTGGTACCTGCCCAGGGCCCAGTGTCTATAAGAAAGATCTTTCACTGTACCAGTGATGACTGCTATGGCTGCAGTCTTATGCTAAGAGGTTTTCTTGTTTCTCCCTCTTGCAGAATACAGCCGAGAGCAACCTTCTTTGCAGTGTGGTGAGTACAGAGCCCAGCCCAGTGTCGGGAAGGGGCCGGGACCTTGTCTGCTGTATTCCCACTCTTCCCGGTGCAGGTCCTTGTGTGGGATCGTCTTCAGCCCAGTGATGAAACGCACACTGGTCCTTCGGCAGTGAAGGTTGGTGGCAGGAGTCCTAGCCCATCCTGAGAGGGGATCAGGAGTTGCGCCCTCCCGTAGTAAGGAACTGGAGAAGCTGCCCGTCCATGCTGTGTTCAGGGGCTCCTTGCGCAGGGACCTGCCTTCTCTCCGCTGGCGAGCAGGTGTGGGCATCTCCGTTCCCCACCAGTGGCTGCTTTAGATCAGGCCCCACCCATGGTCCAGGGAGCTGTAGCCCAGAGACCTGGATGTGTTTCTTGCACACTACCAGCAGTGCCATTGGTATGGGAAGTAACGGGTTGGGACACCTCCTCTCGCAGGCTGAGCATAGGCTGCTTTCCTAGCACTTAGCAAAGGCTGGGATCAGTCCTCTTAGCCTTTAAGATGGGGAGGGTTATCCTCAGTTAATCATTCCTTTACCTGAGCAGGACAGAAATACCTTGCCGAGTGTTGCAGAATTGTGTAGTAGTGGAGCAGGTTAAGAAGCCTTGGAGCAGTTCCTCTTACAATCGAGCACACATAAGAACCCCCTGGAGGCTCCGGAGCCCTGCCTGCAGGGAGATGCCGGTGCAGCAGGTGGGGGGGGGGCTCAGGGTTCTGTATTAGTGATGTCCCAGGGACACAGAATCTGCGGGTCCTGCCTGGGAGGTGCCCTGACTGGCCCCTGCACCGGTGCACTGCACACCATGTGGATCCAGAGTAAGGCTCCTTCCAGGCAGGGCCTCTGGGCTTAGACAGCTCTGACCTTTAGAGAAGTCCTTCTCCCTGAGGACTGCAGTGAGCCAGGTGTGGAGTCCTGTGTGCCCGTGGCCCATGCCTGTGCCGGTGCCCACACGGCCCACTCGGGTGGAAGGGGTTGCACCCACCCCGGGGCAGCCTTGCTCTTGCTGCCAGTGCCATAGAGCAAGCTTAGCTCAGTGACTGGGATCGGCTTGTCTCAGGGATGGGAGCGTCCTACGCAGGACAGGGTTCTTGACCCGTGAGTATCCCAGAAAGAGTGGGCTCATCTCAGAGCTCGGGCAAGTAGACTGATTCCTGACCAAACTAATCATAAGGAAACATCAGACAAACCCAGGTGGAGGAAACTCCTAGGAAACAGCTGTCCCTGGTCAGCTGTCAAGGTTGTAAAAGTCAAGGAAGGACCAAGGAGCTGCTCCAGGCTGGACCAGAGGGATGGGGTAACCAGAAGCCATGCCTTATCCTGGATTAGGTTGTGGACCACAGGATAGAGACTGCAGACTAGTGATAGTATCGTGTCAGTGTGAACTTCCTGGATTTGTGTTGTGTAAGAGAATCTTCTCATTCTTCAAAAATGCACACTGAAGTATTAAATATTAAGGCCTGAAGGGTATGTCCCCAACTTATTTTTATTGTTTTTGTTTGTCTGTATTTTGAGATAGGGTCCCACTATGTAGTGCAGGCTGGCCTTGAACTCACCTATAAAGCCCTGGCTGGCCTTGAACTCAGCAATCCTCCTGCCTCAGCCTCCTGAGTGCTGGGATTACAGGCATCCACTACCATACCCAGTTCCAATTTATTTTTAAATGGTTTAGAAAGAAGAGTTTGTATATATGAAAGAATGATAAAACAATTGTATCAGAAAAGCAGTTCATGGATTGGTAAGAGGGTAGAAGAGTTCCTTGTACTACACATGCAACTTTTTTGTGAGTTTCAGGTTATTTCCAAATAAAAGGAAGAAGAGATTGCAGACGCTGGCAAGCCTGCTTGCGGAGGTCCCCTCGCTGCTCCGTGTGTAAGTGAGGGCAGCTCTCTAACCTCCCCAGGCTTTGGTTCTGCCGTGCGTATGGTGAAGAGCTCACCTTGTGCCTGGCCAGTGGGCACAAGCTACAATAGTGTCATCGTTAGGACAGGGAGAAGTTCAGGGTGACACCACAATGCTGGGGCCGTAGGAAAGCCCACAGGGAGCCCTGTCATCGCCTGCTGCTCGCCGACGTTGACTTCCTGCTTCCCCAGACAGGGACACTGATCGCCTGGCCATGGCAGGGCTCCCCCTGCAAAGGGCCATTCTGTGGTCACCTAAGCCCTGGGTCTCTGCTGGTAAAACGTGGGGCTCCTGGCAGATCTGTCACTGCTTGTGCCTGCCCCCACAACTGGGGCACCCTGGTCTACCTTTCTGCACATTGAACCTGGCCATAAATGTCCAGGGTGGTGGGACACCCCATGGCTTGGGGCAGACAGGAGGGCCGGCGCAGTAGGGCTTTCTGTGTTCACCACCTGGGAGCTGCTGTGGGCGTGTCCTGCTGGGCACACCAGTCCTGCTTCTTTGTGACCGACTTGTGCGCCCTGGGGTGGTGTCTCCTGACCACATGAGTTCAGCCTGTCCCTTGAGCCCTAGGGCCCCATTAGGAGGTGTTATACATTGGGGTCTGAGTGTCCCCTGTAAGAGCGGTGGTTGATTTTCTTTAATTTGTAGTTTCACCTTGAAAACTTGGTACCCTGAGTGCTGCTTCCCTCTGTGAGCCTCTTGACAGGTTCCCGGTGTTTGGTTCCTGTCTGCGTGTGACCGACTGCGCGCATCAGGATAAGTAGTGCCCCCCTGTGACCGGAGAGGACCACAGAGGCAGGGTTAGCTTCCTAGGGTCCCTTGTGTGCCCAGCAGAGCAGGCGGCATGGCGGGCTGCGGCGAGCAGAGGGCCGAGCCAGTTGGGAGTGGAGCGGTGCAGAGGGGTTGCCAGCCCCTCTCTGGCTGGAGCAGCCTCCTGCCTGCGCACACACCCTGGGCACAGCCTTAGCAGAGGCTGGCAGCACGGGCACCAGGTGAGCCAGACTGGAAGTCCACAGATGCCCCTCCTGCAGAGATCCATACCATTGGTTGAGGAGGACATGGAGTTCCAGGCATCAGCTGCTGGCTCAGGATGAATGTCTGCAGATTTGACTTTGCTTTCTCTTTAAACTAAAGCAAGGATTTGTTGTCCTGTCACGGTGTTAGTTTGAGAACGTGAGCTCTTAGCTGACTGTTAAATGTGCCTTAAAAATTAAACATGTGAAGTTTACAAGAACCACTCGGAAGCTGACAGCGTTTTGCCGAGGATAAACATCTGTGCCAGAAACTCTGGACTCCTATAAATGTGCCAGCATATCGGTAGCGCTAGGCTGACCTGCGGTTTTGGTGACACGTGAGCGCTATGCCGACGGCACCCAGGACTTCCGGGGAGAAAGTGCTGCCGCCCAGGATAGCGCGTGAGACGCATTCACGCAGGACCCAGCACTTCCATACTTCAGCACTCAAATTCAGGCTGCATTTAGGGTAAAACATTTCTCAGTGACAACAATAGGAATTCTCTCATTGTCAGTGGTCCATAGGAACAGTCCTTAAAGTCAGACTGCTGCTGTGCTCGCAGAAACCCGGCCTGTTCCTGGACTGGGTCTTTGGCAAGCTGCATCTGGCAGGTGCTGGATGCCCGGCCCCCAGTCCAGCGGAGACGTGGCTCATGTCTCTGGCCATCCCGAAGCCGGGACTTTCAGCAGGTGAGGCTGCAGGAGGGAGGTGCTTTAGACCACCGGGCGGCACATGTCTCTGTCCCCTGCCCCAAGCCGTGGCCTGTGCGGGGTGTTCACTCTATCAGTGTGTTTGCCAGGAGTCACTGAATAGGACAGCGCACAATGTAAATGGATTTCTGGCTTCTCTGAATCAGAGGTGTGTCACCCTCCCCCATCCATGTGTGGTGGCCCCAACCCCCAGTTTCTGTATTTGGAGATGGGGTCTTTAAGGGAGCCAGGAAGGCCCTGGGAGGTCATAGGCCGGGACCCTAATCCGCTAGGCCTGAGAAGAGGTGTCCTCCTGAGAAGAGGAAAAGAACCAGAGCTGTTGTCTCGCTGTCCCCAGGCGCACAAGGACCGAGGTGATGGGGGCACAGTGCGACGGTAGCCGTGTGCAAGCCAGGACAGCCTCGCCAGAGGACGGCCGCAGCACCTGGCACTCGGGCTCCACCCTCCAGAACCGTGAGGAAATGCACTCGTCCTTGTATCCGCTAGTCTGCCACTGTTGTCATGGCAGCACACGCTGACTGATACAGGCAGGTCCTGCCAGACCCCCTTAGCCCTAGCTTTACCAGGGCGCAGGCCTCCAGGGCGTGTGGCCACCCTCAGCTTCACTGCAGCATGGACCCGTAGGAAGCACAGGCGTGTGCACTCCTCCTCCTAAAGCTTCTAAAGGCTTCCTGTGGCTTCTTTTTAATCCCTGTTTATTGGTCTTTTCCTTTTCTTTTGGAAAAAAAGAAAAGAATCCTTGCTCCACAATGCTTTGTCCTGGCTAAGCTGCCAAGCTCTGTACTCCTCATGCCAGCTGGGCCCTGAATCCGGTGCCCGAGGTAGAGGAGCGGGGCTGGTGACCTCTGAGTGCCCCAAACCGTGGAGAGGATGCTGTTCCATCAAGACTCCGAGCATCCGTGTCCCAGTCCTTCTCCAGTTCACACGGGCTGAGGGATTCGGACAGGTTTACCTCCGCCTCCAGCCTCCCGGGTCCTAAGCCGTAGAATGGGGTATTAGAGTAGCTTTAGCTTCTTAGTGTTAGTGTGAGGGTAAGTGAGAAAACAAGTGTATAATTTTAGTACACTCTGGAACATAAAGTGTCAGAGGTGGTAGCTTTGATTGTTTATTTTTATTTCTTGCAGGAAAGGATTGAACCCAGTGCCTTTGCCCTGAGCTACATCTCCAGCCCTCTTTTTATTTTTTATTCTGAGACAGCGTCTCACTAAGTCACTAAGTTGCCCAGGCTGGGCTGGAATTTGTGATCCTCCTGCTTCAGCCTCCCAGAGTTCTGGGATTACAGTCTTGTGCCACCATGCCCAGCTTGATTGTATGTTTTATACTGAAAATTGGCTGCTGAGGCAGGGAGGAACTTTTATACATTCTGGAGCAGGAACTTTTATAAATTCCCTTCCCCTTGATGGTGAAGGGAAATGAGTCACTGGGTGAGCCCCTGAGTGTCCCCCGCCAAGGGCCGCGTCCCTGTGGGAACTGGTGTGAGGCTGTGTGGCTCACGTGCTCCCTAGCTTTCTGTTCCTGCTGGGTCTGGAAGCCCTGAAGGAAGTTCCCTGTGGTAGCCGATGAGTTTGGAAGTCAGGTTAGACTCACAGGTGCCCTTGTGAACGTGGGTGCAGCTGCCCAGCTTGCGCATTGTGCAGGTGGTGAGAACCAGGCGGCCCAGCCTCTGAGACCCCGGCTTTACCTCCACACCGTTTCTAGCGGAATGCTCATCTCGCCACTGCCAGCGAAGCTCCCCCCACTTCCCCTTGGAAGGCTGACTGAGGACGCGGAAGCGCCTTCCGTGCTGCCTGCTGCCCGGACCGCGCTGGCCGGGCCCGGGGGCTTCTGCCACCCACCCTGACTCCTGTTCGCCCCACAAGGCCCCTGCACTGCTGGCACTGCCACTGCACATGCAGCCAGCCAGACCCAGAGAAGGACCCTGGCCTCCTGCCCGCCGATGACCACTGCCCCGCATCCCCGCCTCTCCCAGCCTGCCCCGGGCCACGGGACGGGAGGGGCGGTTTGGGAGGGTGACCACTGGAGAGGCTGGCAGCCTGCGCAGGGTGGAGGGGCCCCCTTGCACCTCACGTTCCCGAGGCCCTTGCTGCCTGACATCCCCGGGTGTCTCTGAGCTTTAGCTGCCCCTCATCTCTGCAGGGAGGGCTTTAATGTATTTTTCCAAATACTAATTTATTTCTTTCTGCTCTCCAGAATTTGCTTGTCATTTATAGTAAGGGGTTTATTTGCATTTCCTCTGAAGCTTTCTCTCTCTCACGTCAAGCCCATGCAAAGGACGGTCGCGTGAAGGCCCGGTCCCCTCCCCCCGTCAGAATCCTGCCCCAGGTTCAGTCTCTGGTTTTGCTGCAGTGTGTTAGGGTTGGAGACATGTACATCCCTCGAGCTGTAAAGACCCCGGTTCTCTGGTTTCTTGTTACCAGTTTTTATAGCTTTTTATTTTGAAACAATTTTACATTTACAGAAAAGTTGCAGAAACCACATCACCCAGTTTGCCCTCATGGTGACATCTGACAGCCATGGCAGAAGGATCAAAACCGGGACGTTCACACAACACTTAGCAAACCACAGACCTCCTGTCCATTCTGCCAGTTGTCCTAATATTAGCCTTCGCTGGCCCAGGGCACAAACGGGATGCCACACTGCATTTCGCTGCTCTGTGTCTGAGTGTCCCCGAGCCGGGACAGCTCCGCGCCCTCCCGACTTCCCTGACCCTCGCTCTGTTGAAGAGGATTGGCCGGCTGCCAGGGAGGACGTCCCCCGTTCCGCTGGGGTTTGAGGTCTTTTCTGCTCACCGGCCTGCGGAGCTCCTTCAGAGCTAGAACGGGCCTGGAACAAGGTTCACACTGAGAAATTGAGGTGGAAGTTGTGTGGCTCACAGAGACAACCACAGAGTCAAGGTGCCCTCCGCGCGGCGGCGCGTGGGGCCGTGGGGTCGCTGTGTTCTGCCGGGGATGCCGGCAGTGACTGCTGGGCTGAGGAGTGTCTGCGGGCTTCTGCACGGGCTTCTCCATGGTGCTTTCTGTTTTTACCTCGTGAGAAAGACTCTCTTGGGGAGATACTTTGAGACTGCAGATACCTTGGTCTCCTCGTATTCTCGCCCGCTACTTCAGTGTCTGTCAGCAAACATGGTCCGCAGCGGTCAGTTCTGTGCTGTTTGCCAGACTTTCTTTCTCCATCTTTGCTTCTGCAGTAACTGCAACTCCGCAAGGAAGACCGGTCTCTTCCCTTCCCTTTACTGACTGAACGGTTCGTATCAGTATTGACTCGTGGGCATTGGTTTTATTCCACGGGCAGCCGTCCACGGCTCTTACCTTTTAATTTTGTCACATCATTCAGACTCGGCCAGTGGAAGCCCCCTCGGCCGGCTCCTGTGCCTCCCGTGTCCTCACTTCCTCACGCTTCGGCACTGCGTGACGTTTCGGGCTGGTCTGGTACTTCCTCCCCCTCCCCTCCCTGTGATGAGTCATTTCTCCTGCAGACCTGGGTCCTCTCCTGGAGGAAGATGCAGTGCTTAGAAGCCAGGGGCTGGGTGAGCGTGTGGTGTGTGCACCTGGCTACTAGAGTGTTGCCACCCCAGGCCCTCTGGGGGCAGAGCTGCTGGGTCACGCGGTGGTGTGAGGGCGCACTCGCATGGACCCAGCTGTCGCTCCTGTCTCCCTGTCCCCACGCTGAGCTGAGGTCTTGGGCCAGGCTCGCCAGCCCCAGGCGAGACTGCTCACCTTGCCTTTCCATTCTCTCCTTAAACTGTTTGTCCCTCCTGTATGTTCTGTTTTCCCCTCTTGCAGGCTTGAGGGTGAATGAGCTCTGGCCTCTGCAGCTGCTGCTGTGTGTCAGGTTTTCTCTTTGAGCAGCTTTGGCTCCCTGCTGCAGCAGTGCTAAGGTAGCTGTGCCTGTGGCAGGGCCAGGGACATTGGTCAGACATGGTCATAAAGGCGCGGCGGGACGCAGTCCAACCTCCGCACGGTAGTTGGTAGCTAAGAGGACTGGGTGCAGCATGGGCGTGCGTGTAGGAAAAGCGTGTGCAGTGGACGGTTTTCTATCAGAAAAGTGAAATAAAACCATGTGGATACAGATGTAAAATACCAACTTCAAAGAGTGAAGTTTGATGAAATCCACTGGTCTCAAGGGGCAGATGCTAAAGGAAGGAACCTGCAACTGAAGGAGTCTTAGGGGCAGGAGAGAGTTTGGGGCATGAAGATTTCTGTTATCATTGGGTACATGGTTCTGAAGAGACTGGGAAACACGCAAGGTTAAGCAGCTTTCCCACCGGCAGAGACCCCCCTGGAGGTGGAGAGCCAGGCCAGAAGGTGCAGATAAAACCTGCTGTGAGGACAGCCATGGCTGGACCAGAAGTTCTCAGCCTCAGAGACTGTGTGAAGGAGGTGAAGTCCATGGCGTCCTTGCTGTAGGCCCCTGGGGTAGTTATGACTTCACCTTTTTCTTTTATAGCTAAAAATGCCCCCGAGGAGCTGAGCAAGTATTTCTGAAGGCATTAGTTTTGGGTCCGTAGGAGTTTCTTTAAAACTGTGGTCATCTGCAAACTTGGACTTGCTTTGCCGTGAGTCCAGTGCTCCTGTCCCCATGGCACCACGTGGTCCCACCGGCCCTTATCCCAATGTGAGTGGGGGGTTGGCTCCCCCCCCCCCCCGTTCTCCACTCCTCTCGCTGCTCAGACACAGGCAGTGGCTGACGTCATCAGGCCCACGTTCCTTGAGCTGCGCCCCAGCCGCTGCCGTCCTGGCTCTGGCTCGGGTTTCTGAGTTTACCCCCATCCCTGTCTGAGGCATCCACTCCAACCCTCTGGTCTCCCTGGACAGCGCCCCTCCCCACCTCCCACTCCGCACACTGAGTCTCTGATCCCTCATGGTTCCTGGAAGACAGAACCAGGTGTGGCGCCTGCTTCCTGCAGGGCTCACTGGAGCCACCTGCTGCCTGCACTGTGAGACTTACTTTGCCCGGGTCCTCCATCCCTACCAGGAGATGGTACCCAAGTGTGATTTGTTTCCATTTTCCTTACAAAGTCTTTATCATCTGCCCAGGTTAAAAGGGCCACAGGGAAACCTAATAGTGCCAAGGAATCCCACGGGGTCAGAGCCCAGAATTGAGATGCAGGCAGACCCAGTGCAGGACACTTTACAATTCCTGTGCCACTGAGGTGTTCCTGTCTGCGAGATGCCAGGACGTCCTCCCAGCCTGGATTCTGTGATGGGGAAAGTTGTCGCCTCGTAGGGCAGAAAGGTCAGGGACGAGGAGATGCCTTCCTGCCACATGTGCATCCATGCATGCTGTCTTTGCCCTCAAGCTCGTTTCTGCCTGGTCAGCAGTCCAGCCAGCAGCCCCGGGCCGAGGCCTTCTCCCCTGTCCACTGTGTTAACCTGGAGTGTGACTCCTTCGCCTCGGTCTCATTGTTCCTCCCAGGCAGTGTGCCATGCAGGGCGGTCACTGGTCCTGGAATATGCTCTGTCCCTGGAGCAAGGGTCTTGGCTTCTCTGAGCCTGGTGAGGGTCAGGCGAGGAAGCTGTCTGCACAGACTGGGGGCTCTGTTGGGAAGAGGAGAAGGGTGATGTGTGGAATCCAGTGTTCGGTGTCACGTGTTAGTGTACTGGACCAGGCCCCATGAGCCACAGGCAGCACAGCCGGTGACACTCACTGCCTGGCCTCAGGTTCCGTTCTTTAGAAGCAAGCTTCTCTGGCTTAGGTTGGAAGGCCTTTGTGTCCAGCGCCTGAGACTAGAAGTGACAGTTCCAGCCTGGGCGCTGAGCAGCTTTTGCTCGGAGTTGGGGAAGGCAGCCAGGCGTGCCAAGAGTGCTTCAGCTCCCCCTCTAACCTCTGCTCTTCCTCTCTGCCGCATACTCCACCTACTAGGTAGAACCACATTGAATGCAGTGCCAGTTTATCCATCCACATTCGGGAGTTCCTACCAGTGCATTTGCTGTGGCTTCTCCACAGCCCCGTGAGGTGGGTCTACACCCTCATGTTTGCTGCTGAGGAGCCTGAGATCAGAGACCGGCCCCGGGAGTGCAGGGAGTTGGATCAAGTCTGTCTGGCCTTTAATCTCTGCACTTAGTGTGCACCATCTTTAGGGAGCTGCCTGCAGCCCATGGTGCCCCCTGGAAACTCAAAGCAGGCTGGTTGGAACACTGCCTGGCAGATACGCCTGCTTAGCAGCAGTGGCAGAGGGGTCTCAGGCAAAGCCGTCCGTCTCGCTCACTGCGGGGTCAGCTCCCCAGCCCTGAGGCCAGTGCCAGGCAGTGCCAGAGGCCTGGCATGGGCCGGTGGAGGGCTCTGGGGAATCTCAGGTGCAGCAAGTACCAGGGACAGAGTGGGCAGAGATGTTCCAAAGAGGGGCGAGAGCCCCTCGTGTAGTCACACCTGGCCCAGGCCCAGAGCGGGCAGGCGGATGAGAACCTGAGGTGGTCATGTGGGGACCATCCGCTTCATCAGAACTGAACGTGGATGCAGTGCGGCGCCTGCTGTTGACCTGCAGGTCTCCCCAGCCCTGGTGCGCTGGCCCCACTGGGAGACCGCTTTGTTTTACATTACGGCCGTGTCCCGGATGTGTGTGTGATTACTGACAGCGGCATTCCTCCTTTGGTTTGTTTGGCTGATGGTTTATCAACCTTACTTATCTTTTCAAAGAATCAACTCTTTCATCGATCCTGTGTGGCGTCTCTATCTCATTAATATTAGCTCTGGTCTTTATTATGTCCATTGGATTTGGTTTTGGTTTTTGTGTTACAAAGAATTTGAGACAAATCATTACATTATTTGAGATCTTTCTGATTTTTTTATGTAGGCACTCATGTCTACAAATTTCCCTCTTAGAATTAGCTTTGCCATATCCCAGAGATTCTGGTATGTTATATTTCCATTTTCATGTGTGTGTCCAGGAATTTTTAAATTTCCTCCCTGATTTCTTCAATAATCCACTGGTCATTCAGAAGTGAATTGTTTAATCTTCATGTGTTTGTGTAGTGCCTGTAGTTTCTTTTTCTGACTTCTAGTTTCATTCCATTATGACCTGATCTGATAAGATGCAAGAAATTATTTCAGTTCTTTTATATTTGTTAAGGCTTACTTTATGGCCTAAAATATGATCTGTTTTGGAGTATGTTCCATGAGCTGCTGAGAAGAATGTGTATTTTACAGTTGGACAGAATGTTCTGTAGACATCTGTTAAATCCGTTTGCTTTATGGTGTAGTTTAGCTCTGATCATTCTCTCCTGATGTTTTTTTGACATGAGAGTGTCTGGATGACCTATTAGTGAGAGTGGAGGATTGAATTCACACACTATTACTGCATTTGGACCTACATATCCCTTTATGTTGAGTACTGTTTGCCTTACGAAATTGGGCACGCTGATTGTTCCGTGCATATTTATTTACAATTGTTTTCTCTTCCTGGTGGATTGTTCCCCTTTACCAATGTGTAGCGGCCTTCTTCAAATTTTGTCTTGAAGTCTTTTTTGTTGGATATGAGCCTAGTTACTCCTGTTTCCTCTTGGGTTCTATTTACGTGGAATATTGTTTCCTATCCTTTTGCTTTCAGTTGCATTTTTGCTAGTGAGGTGTGTTTCTCTCAGTCAGCAGACTTGGATCTTGTTTTTTAATCCAGTCTGCCAGTCTGTGTTTTTTAATTGAAGAATGAAACCATTTTCATTCAGTTATTTAGAAAGGTATATACTAATTCCTGTCATGAAATTGTATTTCTAATGTGTAAGTCTTGCCTCATTCTCAATAGTTTATCTACCCTTCTTCTGAGTGTAGGGTTCCTTTAAGTATTTTCTGCAATACTATCTTAGTGGTTGTGAATTCCTTTTTTTTTTTTTTTTTTTCTTATGTTGAGTTGTTTATTTCTCCTTCAATTTTTCAGAATAGTTTTACTGGCTGTGGCAATGTGGATTGGATACATCATTCTATGCACTCCTGGCCTTCAGGTTTTCTACAGAGAATTCTGAAGTTATTTTCATGGCTTTGCCCCTACAAGTGCCTTGGTGTTTCTCCCTTCCTCGTTCAGTATTCTTCTCTTGTTGTATATTCTTGCTACTTTAGCTGTAATGTGTTGTGGGAAGATTCTTTTCTGTCATGCCTGTTTGGGATTCTAAATACCTCTTATACCTGATGTGTCTGTATCTTTCCCAACACTGGGGAAGTTTCCTGTTATTATTTCATTAAATAGGTTTTCAGTGCCTTTAATCTGAATTTCAGCACCCTCTTCTACACCAGAAATCCACGAGTTTGGTCTTTGGACCGTGTCCCGGGTTGCTTGCAGATGCCGAGTCTCAACCCGCCGTTCCTGCGAGGCAGGTCAGCACTGGTGTGTGTGCCTCGGGGCTGTGTTCACGCCCCCGCTGTTAGCATTTGTGCCCTTCTACACGCCCCAAGCCACCGCTGTTCCCGATTAGCTTTGCAGCCTGCGGTCATGTGTAGTGCCCCAGAGGTACCCTTCCGCTGTGAACCCCAGGAAGTGACAAATGTCCGTGCTGAGGCATAGTCCTTGCCATGTCACCAGTGGGAAAAGCGAACAGATCATTGAGCTCTGTCCTGGAAGCAGCGGTAACGGGGACAGGTCAGTCTGCTGGGCTCAGTCCCAGTGCCTTTGGACCCAGCCCCTCAGGAAACCACACATAACTCTCTGGCTCCCCGCAGAGAGGGTGGGATCACTGCGCCGCCCACAGCCTGAGCCTCCACCACTCGAACCTTTCAGTCTGTGCCCAGCTCTCCCTGTGCTGGCTGAGCCTGGCTGAGCTTGGCCAATGTCGCCGCTGACCCAAGGCCCACTTGGGTCTCTGGGGGCCACTGAGCTGGACAGGGCACGACGGAGCTACTCTGTCTCGTGCCGTACCACTCCTGGGGCCGGCAGGTGAGCCTCGAGTGCTCCTCTCAGGGCAGGGCCGTTGGGGACAGAGGGCACAGCCAGTGCGGGCACTCCGCCCGCCTCTGATTGTGTTGTCTGCTCGCCTCTCCCTGGCAAAGCGGGCTGTGCAGCCTGCACTGCGGTCAGACGCCCACCACGCCCTGTGCGTGCTGCGCGGCGAAGGCCATCTGCCAGGCGGGCACGGAGCAGCAGTCCGGCAGCACAGGAGCAGAGCGCGTCAGGACTCGGCCTGCCTGTGCCAACCCCTTCCCTGTGCTTTCTGCCCCTGCAGGCCTGCGCTGGCCCTCCAGTGTGCGTGGGGATGGGTGTGGCCCGCCTGCCCGGAAGCGCTTCCCCGCGGCCGGCGTCGCCTTAGTCCGCGGACGTGGCCCTAGGATGCACCTGTCAGCGGTGCTCAACGCTCTGCTGGTGTCGGTGCTGGCGGCCGTGCTGTGGAAGCACGTGCGGCTGCGCGAGCATGCGGCCAGCCTGGAGGAGGAGCTGGCCCTCGGCCGCCAGGCCCCCGAGCCCGGCGCGGCCTTGCGCCTCGACTACCCCAGGGCCCTGCAGATCCTGACGGAGGGTGGCACGCACATGGTGTGCACGGGGCGGACGCACACCGACCGCATCTGCCGCTTCAAGTGGCTCTGCTACTCCAGCGAGGCCGAGGAGTTCGTCTTCTTCCACGGCAACTCCTCGGCCATGCTGCCCAACCTGGGCGCCCGGCGCTTCCAGCCGGCGCTGCTCGACCTGTCCACCGTGGAGGACCACAACACGCAGTACTTCAACTTCGTGGAACTGCCCGCCGCCACCCTGCGCTTCCTGCCCAAGCCGGTGTTCGTGCCCGACGTGGCCCTCATCGCCAACCGCTTCAACCCGGACAACCTCATGCACGTCTTCCACGACGACCTGCTGCCCATCTTCTACACGCTGCGCCAGTTCCCGGGCCTGGCCCGCGAGGCCCGGCTCTTCTTCATGGAGGGCTGGGGCGAGGGCTCGCACTTCGACCTCTACAGACTGCTCAGCCCCAAGCCGCCCCTGCTGCGGACGCAGCTCAAGGCCCTGGGCCGCCTGCTGTGCTTCTCTCATGCCTTCGTGGGCCTCTCCAAGGTCACCACCTGGTACCAGTACGGCTTCGTGCAGCCCCAGGGCCCCAAGGCCAACATCCTGGTGTCCGGCCACGAGATCCGGCAGTTCGCGCGCTTCATGACGGAGAAGCTGAACGTGAGCCGCGCCGGGCGCCCGCTGGCCGAGGACTACATCCTGGTCTTCAGCCGCACCCACAACAGACTCATCCTGAACGAGGCCGAGCTGCTGCTGGCCCTGGCCCAGGAGTTCCAGATGAAGACGGTGACGGTGTCCCTGGAGGAGCACGCCTTCGCGGACATTGTGCGGCTGGTCAGCAACGCCTCCATGCTGGTCAGCATGCACGGAGCGCAGCTGGTCACCGCCCTCTTCCTGCCGCGTGGCGCAGCCGTGGTGGAGCTCTTCCCCTACGCCGTCAACCCGGACCACTACACGCCCTATAAGACGCTGGCCACGCTGCCCGGCATGGACCTGCAGTACGTTGCCTGGCGGAACCTCCTGCCAGAGAACACAGTCACACACCCTGAGCGGCCCTGGGACCAGGGTGGCATCGCGCACCTGGACCGCGCTGAGCAGGCCCGCATCCGGCAGAGCCGCGAGGTCCCGCGGCATCTCTGCTGCCGGAACCCCGAGTGGCTCTTCCGCATCTACCAGGACACCAGGGTGGACATCCCGTCCCTCCTTCAGGCCATCCGGCGTGTGGTGAAGGGCCGGCCCGGGCCGCAGAGGCAGAAGTGGGCGGTCGGCCTCTTCCCCGGCAAGGTGCGGGAGGCGCGGTGCCAGGCAGCTGTGCAGGGCGCCTCTGAGGCCCGGCTCACCGTGTCGTGGCAGATGCCCTGGAACCTCAGGTTCCTGAAGGTGCGGGAGGTGCGGTACGAGGTGTGGCTGCAGGAGCAGGGCGAGAGCACCTACGTGCCCTACGTCCTGGCGCTGCAGAACCACACCTTCACCGAGAACATCAAGCCCTTCACCACCTACCTGGTGTGGGTCCGCTGCATCTTCAACAAGACGCTGCCGGGGCCCTTCGCGGACGTGCTGGTGTGCACCACGTAGCAGGCAGGCCACGCCGGCCAGCAGGCTCCCGGCCCAGTGCCCCCCGGGTCTGTGGTCCTGCGGCGGCGGCTGCAGGACGATGTGTTTATTTATTGAGCAGATCGCGCCCCTGTGTCCCCCCACTGCATCTGGGGCTGGACACCCACCCCTTCTGTGTCCTGATCATCCACACCAGAGGTTCCTTAAGCAGGGGGTGGTGAGAACCCAGGAACCGGTCTGGCTAAGTGACCTTGTTGTTTCCTTCCTCCCTGGGCTTGGTGTCCAGGCCCCAGGAATCTGAGATCGTGTGGTCGGTAGTTCCCGTGGTCACCAGGTTTACGGGTGGCCTGGAGTACCAGTGTGTCCGAAGCAGTCATTAAATGATTATGAACATCTCGGTCAAGTGTTCTCACTGGGCAGAAGGAAGGGCGTTGGTCCGGGTGCTCTGACACCTGTCATCCCGATGGCCACCCAGGGAGGCAGCGTGGCAGGGGCAGTGCCAGGGCTGTGGACTGGGCAGGCCACACCCATGCCATCCCCAGCTCTGGGGTAAAGGCCTAGCAGCAGGTGGGATGGCGTGGTGAGCAAGCGCGCATCCACAGGGCCTGCTCTCGGGCTCAGCCAGACACTCAGCCACAGGACCTACGCACACCGCCCCTGCCTTCCCGTCCCTCAGGGGTGTGGCACCGTCCCGCCCCGGAGCAGTCCTCCCTAGGGAGTGCTCCAGCAAGCGGGAAGAGATGGGATCCACGTCAGTAGCTGTGTGGCCGCCTCGGCTCAGGAGCCCCATGAGACCCAGTCTCTTCAAAGCCCGCGCTCACTGCCCCCGGCCCTGCAGTGGCTGCCCGGCTGCAGAGCTGAGGGCCCGCAGTGGTGGCATCTGTCAGTCCATGCAGCCCAGCCTCCCTGCGTCATCCTAAGCTCCTCTCCCTGCCGCAGGTATCCAGCCCCACACCTGGGAGCAGCACGCTCCAGCCCAAGTGAATGTGCTCCCACGGGAACAGAGCACGCTGCTAGCCCAAGCGCAGGTCATTCCGGGAGGAGGAGACCGTGCAGGCAGAAGGGCAGAGGCGTGGCTGGCAGAGGGCAGCTCACGCTGTGGCTCGGTGCAGAAAAGGCATCTCTAGCTGATCATCAGAGTTCCCGTTCCTGCCCACAGCCACCAAGGGAGGTACCTCGGTCCAGCCCCGACGTGGACTCTGCAGCTGGGCCGCCCATCATTCACATTGTCTGTGGCAGGCAGTCGGCAGGGCTCATCCACACGGGTGCCGTGCCCCTTGGTGCCAGTTCCTTTGCCCTGCCCATCGCCGGCGTCTGCCACATGAATCCACACAGAAGACCTAGCTCAGAACAGGAAGTCACAGACACACATGCTAATTAATGCATAAATCTGATACAATCCCAGTCAAACCACCAAAGGGATTTGGAGGGCAGTGGGAGGGATGTGGCTTGATTTGTATCATATTTAGGGCAAATGCATAGAAGTTGCAAAGAAAAAAGGATAAAAATATGGGAGCCAGCTCACCATATAGCAAAAAGTAACTTTCATTAAACAGTATTACACTGATGCAGAAATTGAAAACTTAGTGGGACAGAACAGCTCACAAATGGCCTCATGCGGGACAGCAGGTGGGATGTGACACTTCCAGATCAGGACAGAGGTTGTGTGCTGATGCCAGCACAACTGACTGTCGTGTGGAGGGAGGTGAAAGAAGTTAGATCCCCAGCTCCCACCGCTCTCAAACCTGAATTTCCTGTGGGTTAGCGTGACTGTAAAAGCAATACCACACAAAGACATTTTAACGAGTTTCAAGTAGTGATAGCCTCTCTGAGCGGGTGTGAAGCTACAAAGACTTGGAGTCTGCGTGGAAATAAAAATTTTGCACCGGCTAAAGTCAAGACACAAGTGCAGGCTGCAGGAGAACAAGTTCCCCAGGTCTCCCAGAGCCGAGCGCAATCCCACTAACTGCATTCAGAGATCTCAGGCAGGTTGAGGACAGCCAGAGAATGCCCATGACCTGTGCATGGTGCAGGGACCGCTTCGCTTGTGATAGAGGAAATGCAGCCTTTAAAACAGGCTTTCCTCTTGTGGTTTTAAAGATGGCTGAGACGAGCAAGTGGTGGTGGGGGCACAGAGATACAGTCAGCTCTCTACTCGGAGAAGTGTAAATTGATACGCATTTCAGAGAGCGGTTTGGTAGTTTCTCTCAAAGAACTGCCACGCCCTTTGACCTAGAAGTCCATGTAGGGGAGCCCTGGGGCAAGTACTCCCACACCTTGATGTCCACAGCCGCACTGCCTGCAGCTTAAATGTCCATTATCACGGAAAAAGCTGAATAAAATGTGACACATTCCTGCCGAGATTCCCTGTAATCATCAGTAAAAAGCAGGCCAGTTCAGGTGCAGTCAAAGTAAAAGCAGTGAGCTGGCACTCACAATATGGCCCTGTTCTATGTTACTTTAATCTGCATGTAGTGTGAGTTCGACCCACATACACATCTCCAGGGAATTTTCAGGACTGTCACTTTTTGTCTTGTATGCTTCTATTTGTGAATTTCCTTTTCGTGAGCATGTATTTATAATTCTTAGGCCAACACAACTAAGAATTGAACTTTTATAGCCTAATTTCTCGGCACTGGGGGCCAGAGGTATAGTTCTCAGGAGAGCCTTTATTTGACTTGTTGCACATGTGTGCGGTGCATGCACACGCCACACACGCCCGCTCTCCTGCACACGTGCGCTCAATCCCCCAGCTGTGCACACAGCCCGTGCGCTGGTGTGGGTATGCGGTTCGGTTCCCAGGACATCCTTGGGCTGTTTATTGGTGCAGGAGGCTGAGAGCCAGCACTGAGAAGGCAGAAGGGTAGGTGGTGAGGTAGAAGCCCGCACCACCTCCACCCCTCCAAGCAGCTGAAGCCCCCTGTGATGCCCACGTGTCCTGCTTTCTGGCACTGAGGAAGCACGGCCTTCAGGATGGACACTGTCAGCTCAGGGTTGCATCGTGTGATGCCCAGCAGCGAGCCAGCCTGCCTGGGCAGTGGTGGCTCCCAGGTCCTCATCCTGGAAGAGCCTGAGGTTGTGCTTCTGGATGTGTTGCAGCAGGACCCGTCCCCGCTGCTCCAGCGTCTGGAGGACCCGGTGCAGCCCCGCGGCCCCGCCTTGGCTCTCCCAGAACACCGGGTCCATCTGCAGGGACTTGAGCAGCAGGTTCTGTAGACAGCCCGAGGCCAGAACCCGCACAGCTGCCTCCGGAAACCTGGAGCCCACGACAGGAAAAGCAAGGTGACGTCAGAGAGTCCCGAGGACACGTGAGGCAGAAGGGTGGCCCAGTGACGTCCCCAGGCCGCACCGCTCTCCCACACCCAAGCGACGGGCCAGCGGTGCGGGAAAGCAGAGGACAGAACTTTGCGGGGCCCGGCCCACAGAAAAGCCCGACAGGTCACCCCGCCACCAGGCAGGGCAGCCTGAGCTCGGGAAGGCTGAGCGTGTGGCTCGGACAGGAGAGACCCCTGCTGGCTCTCCCGCCAAGCCGCAGCACGGCTGGGTCAAGCAGGGCAGGGGGTCCTGACTTAAGGAGCCGGCTGCCCACTGCTCCTGCTCTGTGCCTCCCCGAGCCCACGTCCCGCAGGGTGGGCCTCCGCGCAGCCCGGGGCCCTCACCCGTCTATGCCCTGCAGCAGCCGGAAGTCCAGCTTGTGCTCGGGGTGCCCCAGGGTGCCCGCATTGTCGATGTAGACCAGGTGAGACGGGTCGCTGCTCCGGACCTTGAGGGAAGGAGATGGCAGAGACGGCGGGCATGGGAGCAGGGTAGCGGGCTTCCAGTCCACCCTGCTTGTCCACACAGTCCCTGTGGCTGGCATGGCACGTCCCTTATACTGGGTACTGTGCTAAGTGCCTCCCTGGCATCTGCACAAACCCGGCCAGTGACCTCAGAGGAGGTACTGGTGTTGCTCGTGACACGTGACACAGGGTCAGAGCTGTGGCCCTGTGAAGCCGCATGCGGATGGTGCCCATCCGGGCCGGAAGGGTGGGGATCCGGGGTGCTCGCCAAGGCCACGGGCTGGCGACCTGTCGCAACTCCTGAACTCCTGGAGACCTCCCGAGAGCCCCTCTGCCGCCCGTGCCATCTGCCCGGCAGTGTGCTTGCCCTCAGAAAGCACCGGCCGTGCTCCATTTCCACAGGAGTCTGCGCCCCTGAGCCTTGCCCACCTAGAACGGTGGCCATGAAGCCCTCAGTCCCTTAAGAATGTGGGTGGCTGGGGGCGGGGCTGGTCTCCTGGGCGCTCCCAGCGTCCGCGTCCTTCCCACGGTGCCGATCTTTCCCACGGTCCCCTGCAGCACCCCGCTTTCCCTGCAGACCTTTCCCAGGGCCCCAGACCCTCAAACTTCTTTCCCAGGGCCCCAGCCCCTCAAACAGCTTCTCAAACTCCGCCTGTGGGAGCCATGGGCCCCCCTGGAGATTCTTGGGGGCCCAGGCTGGGGCGAGGCGCAGGGGAGATGACACAGCAGACCCCAGCCCAGGGCGAGGCGCGGGACGTACCAGGATGTGCACCAGCCGCAGCTCCGCCGGGTTCCGGCATTTCTCTCGCAGCCTCTCCTCCACGCAGGGGTCTGAGGGCTCAGGCTGGAAGCCACAGCAGTAGCGATCCAGCCGGTCGTGCACCTGTGGGGACAGCCAGCCTCTGGGGCACGGGCCGCCTCTTCCACCTTGGGGCAGCCAGGCTCCCCTGTGCCCGCTGCCCTCCCACACAGCTGCCAGCCCCCCGTCTGGATGACTGCTTGAGGCCGAAGGTGAGACCCCAGGAGGCCTGTGGAGTGACTCGTTTGACGTGAGACAAAGAAAGCCAGCCGGTTGCTGTGAGAGGGGAGAGGCCTGGGAAGGGGCAGAGTAACGCGAGGACGGCAGCAGCCCAGGGCGATGCGTCCTTCTGCCACCCGCCTGCCAGGCGGAACGTTTGCCGGGGGCTGGTGAGCCTTGAGCCTGGGTCAGTGCGGGGCACAGGGAGGTAGGACTCAGGGCTTGTGGGGCAGGATGGGTCACTGCCCGGGTCCCCCATGGGCCCAGGGGACTTGGGAGCCCCTGCTGTGCCAACCATGGTGATGTCACACGGTGCCCAAACTCGGCACAGACTGTGCGGTGCTCCTCCAAGGGACGCCCTACATTCGGTCTGTCTTCACCACGTGGTGCCTCTTGGGCAGACAGCAGGGACCCGCTGGGGAAGAGGGCGCTGGCCCAGGGCCTGTGGCGTGCTGGAGGGATGGAGTCGGGGCAGAGCCGCAGAAGCCAGGTGCACAGCTGGGACAGAGCCACGGCAGGCCTGGTTCTGGCAGGATCTGGGGACCCCTCCGAGGGACAGGACCCCGACCACTTCGTCCCACAGGGTAACACTGGGTCTGCCCCTCGGGGACACTGATGGCGTCACTCAGACGGGTGGGAGCTGCCTGGTGGGACTGAGCCCTCGGCCTGTGGGGCCACTCGGACTCCAGGCAGAAGTGTGAGGCTCTAGGCAGACTGCGGCGCGAAGCGGAGAAAGGACAGGTGTCAGAAGACGCCACTGCGGTGGCCGGCACCACTGCCGTCCTCCCCACCTCTCCACTGCCCTGCAGGCGTGTGAGGAGTGCCACCCTTGCCTCACACTCAGAGCCAGGGAGTCGGCCGTGCGTGTGGTTCTTTGCACACTCGGTGCAGCTGCGGGGCCAGTGGATGAGGCTGCAGCGTGGTGGGGTGAGGGTGCCCCTCGGTTGTGAGCAGGGTGGGCACAGGGGGCTGCAAGGGCGCTGGCTCAGCAGAGCCAGTCTGTGGCCTAGAGGCAGAGCTGACCGTGCGGTGTGGGCACTCCAGGGCCACAGTGCCACGCTGTCCTGCTGCGGCTGGGCTCTGTGTCTTCTGCTCCCTCCGTCGGTGGCCGGCCTGTCCTGTGCATACCGTTTAGGGACCCAGGAGCGTCCTGCTGCGGACTGACCCTGGCGTCCTCTCGGGGGTCCTCTGTCCAGGCCGGAGATGAGAAGAGACCCCCATGCCCGGCCTCCCTCCTGCTGCTGTGACTGCATCCCCCTGGACGCCTCCTTCTTTCCCGGGCGCTCGCCAAGGACTCCAGGTCAGCTTTGGGGGACCCATGTCTCCCTCACGGGCAGCGCTCCAGGCTCTTTGGGGTCCACACCCCGCACATCAGCACCAGGCACAGGCAGGAGGTCCAGCGCAGAGTGAGCCTCACTGCAGGACCGGTCAGCGTCTGCCGTCCTTGACACCCGTTCTGTGTGCCGCAAACGCCGCACCGCACCCCCGGGCCCCCACTGAAGACTTAGCACTCAGCACCCCCGTTTTCCATTCCAGTCACTCGCTGCAGCCTGTCGACCCGTCTGCAGATCATTTTGCTTCCGGACCCTCGCCAGTCTTAAACTGGGTGCCGGCCACACCAGCAGCACACTCTGTCAGTGCAGGTGTCTGCAGCCCAAGTCACAGAAAACCTGACCCAAGCGACCTACGCCTACGGAAAGCGAGGTCCTGCGCGACCGGTAGGCGGCTGTGGCTCTGCGGCTGAGGGTGAGGACGCGCTTTCCCGCCCTCACCAACAGCCGGTGTGTCTCGGGCAGCCCGCAGGGGGCGCTGTGGGCACGTGTGTCCGTGGAGCTCAGCAAGGGAGGAGGGGAAATAGAGAATTTCTCCCCGCAACCGTGGAATCCGGGTCCTTCCCTTCCACCAAATCGGGGCAGCCAGCAGGTCACCCGAGACCAGCGGCAGTTAGGGACGCAGCGGTCCCCGAGCCCTCTGAGTCTCCGACTGGGCGCCAGGGACATAGCTCAGCAGCACAGCACATGCCTGAATCCCCGGACGGATGGCGAGCGAATCTCATGAAAGGGACACACGCGAGCAGCCGGCAGCCAGGGGGGTCCCCTGCAGCCCTGATGTCCTCGTTCGGCTGAGGACAGGGCGCCCCATACCCCCAGCGCCCTGCAGCCCCGCTCCAGGGACGCCGCTGGGCACCCCGCGTCTCCCTCCACGCTGTCCTGCCCGCCGCCGGCGACCCCGCACGCGTGCACAACTGTGCTCGGCCCGGGGTCACCAGGCTCCCCCGAGGGCCCGGGAGATGTCTGGGGCGCACACAGGTGGGCTCGTCCGCGCTCCCGCAGGCGTCCCCGTCGTGAGAATTTCATCCGCCAAGAACATTCTTTTCTGGCTTTTTTCTACCACTTATAAATACTAAAGCGAGCAAGTGTGAATGCCCTCCGTCCCGTGAGACTGGAAGCCCAGAACTGCCCCAGGTACCCCTTCCCGCCTGGTCCCAGCCGCCAGGCCTGTGCCCCGCCTGCCCCCGACCCCACGCCCCCAGGCTGCTCCATGCAGACCCCTCGAGGCAGCGGTCATCTCCAGGGGCCGCTGCGGGACCGGGCGCCCCGAGCCGCGCAGCCCCATCCCGGGTCCCCACCCACGTGCGCGTGCGCCAGGAGGGGCGTGGCCCACAGAGCCGCCTGTGCCGTTGCTTTGCGGCGCGCTCTGGTTGTTTTTCCCACTGAAGAGCAGGTGGGCTTACACGGAGCAGGCTGGCAGCCACGCGGGCCGAGCCTAGGTTTCCTTCCCACATTCCTGCAGCGCGTGATCCTTCTGAAAAAATGAGGAGCTGCCCAGAGGAACAGCAATCCCTTGCAGCTTTTGTTTTCCGGGCAGCCAAGCAGCATTGCAAAGTCCTGACACGGACTGGAGCCGCTGTTCACTTTAGCGAAGCCACTGCCAAGCCCTTCCGTGCCAGGCCTTCCTGAGCCTCTGCCGGGAGTGACTCGCTCCACCGCTCCTGAAGTCAGAGGTGCACACTGCCATTGTCCCTGCTGCAACGAGAGGAAAGTGAGGGCGGACCGTTGTGCCTAGGGTCACATACGTGGAGCCTGGGTGTGAACCCGGGCAGTCCAGCTCCTCCCAGGAAGTCAGACAGGATAGCACTCCATGGTCATGCACTCCTGGACAGTGACCCAAGCTCAGTCCAGTCCGGGATGGGAAGGACACTGTCGTCTGCCTGAGGGTGACACCAGGCTGAGGCGGTGCTGGGGGACAGGGAGCCCAGCCCGGGACAGGGGGTGGCCTGAGGCACCTTGGCCCCCCTAACAGACCCGCCGGGCTGGGGGGCCAAGTCTGGGTTCCTTGGCCGTGCCTGCTCCAGGCCTGCAGACTCTGGAAGAGACACCTGCTCTCCTTGCAGCCCACGCCCAGTGACGGGCCCCTCCCCAGCCCAGGGCAGTCACAGGCCAGGTCCTGCACGGTGGACAGGGCTGCTCTCAGCAGGGCAGCTCACCGCCTGCCCACAAAACTGCAGGGAGGCCCTCCCTGCCAGCACCACTCTCCCTGGGGGCTGCACAGGCCCCGGACAGCTGCTACAGATCCCACAGGGGCATGTGGAGGCCGAGAGGCCGGGAGGGGTCGCTGGGTACCGGCGCTCCCTCTCCTCTGGGGCCTCGCCCTCCCACCAGCTGGCTCGTGACCGACAGAGGGAAAGGAGCAGGTGGACAAGCACGTCTGCTCCGCTCAATGCTGAGGCTCCCAGGCTGCTCTGGAAGCAGGCTAGCAGATGAGCACCTGGCCTTGCAGAACCTCCGTGCTCCAGCAAGATTCCGCACATCCGCCTAAGGTGCAAACAACGCAAAACCAGTGGCCAGTCAAAGCCAAGCGCACCACAGCAAGTAGCTTCCAGCCAAGACCAGACGGTCACCCCTAGAGCGCCCTTCACCAGAGTCTGTGCACTGGCACACCCTGCGACCTCTCCACCAACGCTGGGAGTCTCCTGTAAGATGCTACATCCATTCTTGTGTGAAACTCTTAATGAAGCTGAAAGAATGAATAGTTCTTTATCATCAGTCAAAAGCCAGCGTAAGCCAGGTGTTGTGGTGCATGCCTATAATCCCAGCTCTTGGGAGGCTGAGGCAGGAGGTTACTGTAAGTTTAAGGCCAGCCTGGGCTACGCAGTGACTTCAAGGGGAGCCTGAACTATAGAGCAAACCCCTGTTTCAGAAAAACAAACAAAGAAGCATGTCTTATGGTAAAACACTGGAAAGAAGAGGCAGTGGAGAGATGTGTGCCATTCATTACAGGTGAAGCGGCGGGGACAGTACCTGGAAAACCCAAGCAGGTCAGCTGAGCAGCCGTTCCAGATGGGGTCAAGGCAGCAGATTGCCAGTAACAAGGAACGTGTGGAGACAGTAGCCTTCCTACAGACCAGGAGCCTGGCCTGGGCCTGTCCTAGAAAAAGCACGGTCACGGTCACAGGAAGAGGAAATGCCCGGGAGGGACGCAGCGTGACAGGAGACCCAGCTGCGGGAGCACCAGCCGCCTCTGCTCTCAGCTGAGCGACCGCGTCCTCAGGTGTCAGGCTCCTGGCCGTCCGCAGGCATTTCGCTTGACTCCAGTAAATCTCCAGGGGATTTGGGAATGGGGAGGCAGTAAAAGCTGATCGTGAATTTCATATGAGAAAAGTACCCAAAGTATCAAGAGCACTCTAAAAAGAGCAACAAGAGAGAGCAAGCCCCACTAGGTGCTAACACAACTATAAAGCTCAGTAATTAAAACAGTGTGATCTGGCACATAGTAGACCCTGAGCGGAAGAGACCAGAGACAGACACACAAGGCAGCGCTCTGCTGCAGGCGGCGTTCAGATGGGGGCAAGAATGGTTCTTTACCGACGCTGCCAGGACATGGGCTGCCATCTGAAGGGGGCAGTTGTTTCCCATCTAACCCCTTAGTCCAGAACAACTTCCAGATGGAGCCGAGATGCATAAAACCGGGGCAGACATTCTAACACAACGCTGAAGTGTAGCGAGCCGCTTACAAACGACCTATAAACCTAGGCGTCGGAAGCATGTTGGCTTGTCAGCTTTAATTTTATTAACATTTCTGCACAGCAAAAGACTGCACCTTGACAGAAACAACCCCATGATGAAAATGGCTAATTAATTTGTAAAAGGCTCTTAAGGCCACTGGGAGACTGAGGACTCAACAGGAAATGGAACAAGGAAAGTGGACAGGTTTTCGTTCCGTTCTGTTCTTGTCTGTTTAAAGGCTTTCCGCGGAGGCAGAGCCACCGTGGGGTTTCGCCCAGGCAAAGGTGGCAGCTTAGTGGCTGAAGACAGCACTTGTGCCCCACAGTTTGGGGGAGCCCCTCACTTTTACTAGGTGTTCTGCTTGGGTCCCCTCGGCTAAAATAAAGGAGCTGACAGGGCCATGTCTCATGGAGTTCAAGTCCTTCCCCTGCTCATTCAAGTTGCCAAGCGGACGCTAGGCCTTGTAGGAAAGGGGTCCCCAGGGATGCTGGGGTCCTCCTGGACCCTCGAGCCCCCCCCACATCAGGCTGTTCATGTTCCTCCCAGAAGCCAGCCAGAGGCTTTCAGGTGCTTTGCCTTCACCCCATGAGGCCAGGCCCACCCAGGGTCATCCCCCTTTTTATTGACTCCATCAACTGATTGGCAACTAATTGAGAGTGATATTTCCTAAAATTCTCACCCACACACGGGGGGGGGGTGCTTGGATAGGGGGGTGGGAATCCTGAAGCCAGCAGAAAATTCTGACTATCACACTTCACCTAATCTAGGCCCTGCTTTTAAACATATGAAAAGACACTGCCTTGAAATGCCCTTGGCCTGGCGGCGTGCCCCACGCCCGGTGCCTGGCTGTGCCGTGTGTGCAGCAGGGAGGAGCATGGCGCCTGTGTCCCGACCTGGGGGACACAGTGAGCTTGATGTGACTCGTGGCAGGAACGTGAGAGCCGCTGGCTGCTGTAGCGAGCACCTCTGGTTGGCAGGGGTCACCCATCTGGGCTCCTAGCTGACACGCCTTCTGGTGTCCCAGGCGTCAGAGGAGACAAGAGATGGGCAGTCAGGTGGGACACAGAACAGGCCACACCTGCAGGGCCACGCACGACTGAAATGGGCTCCCTGGGAAGGAAGCTGCCTGCTTGTACTGGAAGTAACTTTCAGAGGCCTTAAGTGTGGCAGAACGGGCAGGAGTGTGTGGCCGGGCCCTGGATTAGACTCCGGCTCCGACGCTCAAGGCTGTGTGGCCGGATAGGTTCTGCAGCGCTCTTAGGCCTCAGTTCCCCATCTGTGGGTGGGGCTAAGAAGAGCGTCTACCTCCTCCGGCTGCGTGTGAGTGAACTGACTTGCCTGGACGGACAGACCGGAGAGAGACGCTGGACTGTGGAGCGCTGTGCTCATTTGTGGGCTCTCTGATGCTTGTGGATGAGTGTGTGGCTGGGAGGAAGCCCCGTTCAAAGAGGTGGCTGCTGGGGAGGCTTTGGAGGGCCTGTCTCCCACTGGCGCTCTTCCTCGGGGCTCTGCCTCCAAGCCTCCATGAAGCAAGCAGCCCTGCTCTGCCAGCCCTTCTGCCACGACGCGCTGGCCTTGGAGGAGCTGACCCTGGACGGAACCATCCCAGATCACGAGCCCAGAGCCTCTCCCGCCTTAGGTAGTGGCTGTCGGGTAGCGGGAACGCTGACCGTGAAGGCCGCCGTGCGTTAACACGCGAATGCTCAGTGGTGCGACGCTGTCACACAGGTCTTCTGCTCAGGACACTGAGTCACTAACCAGCCTGGGGCAGACGTCGTGACTGCTGTTGTTTCCGCCCCCGCAGTTGTTCCGTGAGTGAGAAGTGGACTCAGCCTTGGGATGCTTTGTGGGGTGTGGGAAGGAATGAGAGCCGAGGATGCAGAACAGAGCGGCACTCAGAAGGAAAACCATATGAAGACCCTGGAAGTTCACGCACGCACCCACTCACTCACTCATTCATTCATTTGAAAGGGTTCAAGCGGGATCAACCAAGCGTCTTGGTCACTTTCCCCACTGCTGGGACAAAATACCCGAACAGCCGTGACTTAGAGGAGGAGAGGTTTGTCACAGCGCAGTGTGTGGTGGTTTCAGTCCATCGTCCACCAGCTCCAAGGCGGGTGGTGTGGCAGCAGGGCGTGGCGGAGGGCACCGCAGAGGAGAGCTGCTCCTGGCAGAGTGAGGAGGGCTGGGGGCGGTCAAGCCTTTCCAGCCTCTTCCACAGACGGGGTTCCCGGACCACAAGTCAGCCCCTCCCCATAGTGCACTCACCTCCCCAAAGCCCCACCGAGAAGCTCATGAGGCTTGGGGGACATCCAGATAGACACTTCACCAGGGCGTGCTCGGTTCGTGCTGAGGATGTCATACAGCATGCGCACACAAACATGCACACACACGCGCGTGCGCACGCGCACACACACACGGGGCGAGGCAAACATGATTATTTGTGGCAGCAGATGATTATTTGTAAACATGATCACATATTGTGCCGAGAGTCAGGAGGAAACAGACAGCCGCCATGAAAGAGGAAGCAGGCCAGCTCGGAGGAGGTAGACGTGGTCCGAGCAGGAGGCCTGCGAGGAGGAAGGGGCACAGATGCCCTGGGCCTCGGAGGGGCTGCCAGGGCGGTGCCAAGAGCCAGAGCCAGAGAAGGAAGACGCTGACGGACCGGGGGGGCCTTGAAGGCCTGATACAGAAGATGCGGAGAAGGCCGTGCCTGTGACACGCCCTGGTGTCGATTGTGACCTGGGGCACCCCAAGTACCCCTTGGACATCCCGCCTGCCTGGCCTGCCCAGGGCTCCCTCTGCAGCCAGGCCACAGGACAGGTGCCTCCCCCTCCTGGGCCACTCGGAGCCGGTCCCACACAGCTCCCAGAATTCTCCTTGGAGGCGAGCTGCCCCCGCTTCGCGACCTGCTAGATCAGAGCCCCACCGCCAGCTGTGTCCTCCCCTCACACATCCCCATCCCTACCCGGGCCGCTGGGGTCCCCTCCCAGGGCACCTGCCCCCGCTGGAATCCATCTCAGGCACTGATCCTGGGGCCCCAAGCCAGGACCACCCCTGGGGCTCCTGGGAGGACTGGAGGGGAGGGGAAGTAGGCAGAGGCAGGAAAGCCCAGCAGGGGCCACGGCTGGGGCTTCAGGTCCCCGACGTTCAGGACGTGAAGCTTCTTCCCACAGAAGGTGCAGAATGTCCCTGTGAGCTCCCCCACCTCTCACCCCTGCAGGATTCTCCCCCGTGAGCAGCAGCAGAGAAGCAGAGATGCCCCACCCTTCCTCCATACCCTGCCTGAGGAGCCCCTCCTGTGTCCCCTGAGGCCAGCTTGGCCACCATGGCCTGCGATCGTTGCCTCTGCTGTCCCAAGAGGGGGACTGCACACCTTCCACCAGAGCAAACGCCACTCTGGGTCCAGGCCGCCCCGACATCGAGCAGAGCAGAGGCTTTGAGCCCCCTCCTCCCGCCAAGCACACTCCCGCGTGCACATGCGCAGGGTGTGCAGTGCGTGTGTTTGGAGAGGGTGCACGCCTGGTCTGACCGCTGTTCCTGAACCTCGCCAGTGCGCAGATCGGAAGTGCCTGCCCTGATGCTGGGCCGGGCCCCTGACTTGCTGCGGCCAGCGGAAGGGTAGCAGACGTGATCCTGGCAGACCTTGAGCAGTTTTTGCGGTTTGCTTGAGCTCCTGGGCTTCTTCCAGTCCCAGAGCAAATTCCTGTGCCCGGGTGGCAGAGCGGAGCGATGCAGAGCTGCTCTGAGCGGGCCGCCCCAACCCACAGACCCTGCAGCAAGAGCCGCAGAGCTGGTTTGGGCAGCTGGTCCACACTGGCACTCAGCCATCGCCGACTCCGTGGGTTCTGAAGCCCAGGCGTGGAGCTGGCGAGGTGTGTGGGGCGGTGCTGGCCCGCTCTGTGGTGTGTTGGGGACACAGGAACACATGGAAACACAGTTTAGACAGGATCGAACCAAGCAGCTGAGCTGCATGCTGACCGCAGAGCAGGCTGTGTCTGGGATTTGTGCCCAGTGCTGGGTTGGATGGACCCCGGCTTCCTGTGCAGAGAACCGCATTCTTCAGTCCGGCCAGGGCTTCTAGGAAGGAGCACCGGCCAGACACAGTGTTTGACTTGACCGGCGTCCAGCAGGCCAGGGAGGAGGCTGCGTGAGCCCGGCCAGGTGGCATCTGACCACACCGCCGCCTGCCTGTGCCTCGGCTGGGCGTCAGTCCCCGCAGCGTGCCTCGAGGCCGGGAGGTGAAGAGACGGGTTCTGTGTGAAGCTGCTGGCGGGCGCTCAAGGCCTCGGGCCTCCTGCAGCGCCCCTTCCTGCCCTCCCTCATGCCGGCTGAACCCAAGCTCTGACGGGCGGTGTGGGCTCTGGACCTGACTGTCCTGGCTGCGTCCCAGTCCACCAGCTGTGACCTCAGGCCAGTGGCTCACCCTGGCTGGGCCTCAGTTTCCCAGCTTTAAATGGTGAAACACATAGAGTCTCACTCTCAAGGGTGCCACGAGCCAGGGGTGACCCAGTCCCTGAAGTGTCAAGCCAGGGCTGTTCACCAGGTGCATGTGCCGCTGTGGGCACTGTTCAGCTCTCACACACAGAGACCGGGGGGCCCAGGGGGGCATCCGGCCCAGGCTGGACCCCAGAGCCTGGGGTAGGGCCCTTGGGACGTGACCTGTAAGGGCAGGGTTGGGTGCCGAGACAGGGAAGCCGGCATCACCACTGTGGGTAACAGACTCCGGTCCCGCTGGGACTCTGATTGCAGACAAGGACGGGTGGGGTTTGCAGCCAAGGGAGAGCGTGGCAGACCCTTTGGCTGGGCAGACGATTGTGTCCCGGCGTGGCAGGAGGCAGGAACCGAAGTGCCTAAGCTGCGCTGCAGTGACAACAGCGACCGCTCCATCCCTGTGCCTCCCTCTCCGCTGTCTGCTTCTCCCCTCCCTCTGAGAAACGCCTCCAAGGCTTGTGCCTCAAAGGGATAAAGTGACAAAGGGTGGCAGCAGGGAGAGGGTCAGCAACAGACGGCAGCCCTGACTTGCAGCATTGTCTGACTTCCCTGGTGCGAACCTTTGCTCCCCGTGTGATTTCCACGACAAGCACAGGCAGTGTGGGGCTGGCAGCACAAGGCACAGCACCGCACGGCAGCCGCAGCACATACACCACCGCGACGGGTCACTGCGTGGGCACGGTTGGCAGCAGCGCACAGCAAGCCGTTAGAAAGCGGTTGCCACCTCTGCCTTGGAGATGCTCACGCTTAGCGTGCACAGCTTCGCTCCAGGCATCCTGGGAATTGTCTGCTATTAGCCTGCGTAACTCTCGGGGCGCACAGCTGGACCACAACGTCCTGAGCACCTCAGCCATCAGCTCCTGTGAGCTGGTATGAGCTGGCTCCCACTCTACGGCATGAGTAGGCGGGTGCAAGAGCAACAAGCAGGTGCTCCGTGGTCTGAAGACCAGGGCAGTGGGGAGCGTCCCAGCCGCCCCAGGTGGACAGTCCGGCCTCCCTGGTCTCTGACCCACTTACTTGCAGCAGGAAGTCGAAGAGCGCCAGGCGTCCCCATTCTGAGCGGCGGATCCCCAGGCACGGGGCCTGGTCTGGCCCACTGCTGCAACCGTGTGCCAGCAGGGCCTGGTACTGCAGCCAGCCCAAGGCCAGGGAGTTCTGGTCCTCCTCGGGGTCGGCCAAGTGCTGCACGTCGGGTGCCCACCAGATGACTGGCCGGGCACCACCATCCGTGAAGCGGTAGGGCAGCAGGGGGCTGTGGAAGCGGCGGGCCGCCGCGGGCAGGCTTCGGCGCAGCCCCAGCACGCGGTCCAGGTGGAAGGACAGCACCTCGAGCAGGTCCTCGGGCCGCTTGATCAGGCCGCAGAGCCCCCGGGAGCAGTTTGGGCTGAGCCCGGGAAGGGCTGCACCCTGGCGGGCACCCTCAGCAGACAGCTCGACCTGCAGCACCTGCCCGTGACCCGGGACCCGGGCTTTGCCCACCACCTCGCCCCGGGTCAGCAGCCGCAGTCTCTGCACGTCGTGCTCTGTGAGCCATGGGGGGGTCTGCCCAGCCAGCCCTGGCACGGCCGGTGTCTCGGTGTCACACCACCCTGACCCCTGCAGATCCCCAACAGAGCCAGGCCATGCACGGGCCCTTGGTGCCAGCACGGGGTCCCCTCTTTGCTCCCCACCCACGGAGACTCTGTCCCCCGCCCCCAGCAGACCCATGCCTTCTGCCAGGGGCCAGGGTTTCAGCCTGGCATCAGCTGCCCCACTGGTCCCTGCACGCGGGCTGCCTGGGGCACCTGTCTCATTCTGCACCTCCTCCATGGGACCCTCGTGTCCCGGCTGGGCCGGGGCTTTGGCTCCTGCGTCTCTGACTTCCCCATGTCTCAGAAGCACAAGGTGCTGGGTTCGGAGTCCTGCATCTCCTGTCAAAGTCACGTCCCTCCTGACGCGTCTTGGGTGCTTGCTGGCCCTTCCTGGGGGCTGCTTGCTTCTGTCCCCTCGCCCCCAGGGGCCTTGCTTCTCAGCACCGACAGTGGTGGGATTTCTGGGCCAAACCCGGCCTTGCCAGAGCCCCAGCGTCCTTGTCTGCTGCCTCCGGCTGGAGCTCAAAACCTGCCGGACGCGGGGCATGAGGGCACCAATGTCCCCCTGAGGCTCCATGAGACCAAGGTCCGGGTAGGTGACTGGACGCTCCGGGGGGAAGCGGGTGATAGTCCACACTGACAGGGTCACCAACAAGCAGAAAGCCACCACTGTCCACCTGTTGCCATGCAGCCTTCTCCTGAGCCAGGATGCCTGGGGAGGGACAGAAGAAGACAACTTGAGACCTGGGGAGGATGACAGCTCCAGCCCGCAGGACAATGGGCACAAACGACAGAGCTCCTAGACGCCTGGCAGCGTGAAAACACAGCCCAGGGAGGCGCCGGCGTAGCCAGCCTGAGGCTGAGCCCTGCTCCTTCTACTCCCCAACCTCCGCTCTGGATAAATGACTACACAGCACTAGCCGCCATGCCTCACAGGGGACTCTGCCTGCGCTTGTCCCCACTGAGAGGTGCAGGTGACCTTGCCTGGCCTGTCTTGCCCCTGGGCATAGTGAGAAACTAGACCAGTGATGCCACACTTTTACAGCTTTCAATGGTAGCAAACAGCTGGCTGTGACACACACGCCATAGGCTCACCGCCTCGGACTAGATGCGGCGAGTGTGACTCTCAGGTGGCTGGATCTAAAAGTGCCCGCGCAAGTCCAGACGTCGGCTTGAGCCCTCTGCCCACATCCAGCGGAGACCAGCGGTCTGCTTGCTTTCCCCACCACCAAGTGAGCAAGGACATGCCTCAGGAGGTTGCCACAGTCCAGGGTGCAGGACGGAGGGGCCTCTGGAGCAGAGGGAGCACCGCACAAACCCACAGGCCCTACAGCTGGGAGGAGAACGTGCGACTTGCTGGGTTCCAAGACTGCAGACCCTAGAAAGAAGCCACTCAGCCCCAAAAGGAGGAAATTTTTATCTCAATTTTCTTTCTTTCTTTTCCATCATTTGTTTTTGGGGGTTTGGGTTTTTCCTCCCTTTTTCTTTTATTTTCTTATTCCTTTCTTCTTATTTTTCAGTTTAACTTTATTTTGTTCCCCATTTTTAAACTTTTCCTGGTTGTTCTTTTCTGGTCCTTTTACTCCTCGGTAAGCTCCTTTATCTCACTTTTCTCCGCTCCTCATCTTCCACTGGTTAATTTTTCAAATTCTATTTTTTCCATTCTCCAGTGCCCTGCTCCTATTATCCTTACCAGAATAACCACTAAATTTTAGGACTACTTAGATAGAAGTGAACTCTACACTATTACCATTGAGTACTGTCCTATTGCTAGTGGAGGTATAGTTGTTGCACTTAGCAGATATTTCCAATATTTGATTTGACTATAGTCATAGATGTCTTTTCTATAGATTAAGGGTGATACAATACTGGTTCTTAGGTTACGTCAACATGCACCTTGTCTTTATTTATTATTGTTGTTGATTTTATTGCTATTGCCACAGCAGCATAGCTGCTGCTCTTGATGGGTTTTCTCTATTCCAGTGTCTGGACTGTCATGGTCTCATTAATAATATTGCTGCCAGTTCCCATTGAACTGGGCGCTGGGCCAAATACACGGCCGTTTCCCCTCCTAAGCAAACAGAGGTGGTTGGATCTGGGACAGAAGCAAAGGCCTATAGTTAGCCATGCCCAGAGTGCATCACTGAGAAGCAGTCACTGACTAAAGAGACTTCCACACTAGCAGCACAGTCTCCCATTACAGCCAACCTGCAAATCACACACACACATGGGAAATAGGAGATGACAAGGCAACAAAATGCTCCCCAAAACTCCCAGGTCCCCTAAAGCTGGTCCGTGGGGGATGAAGGGGGAGGGAATGAAAAGTCACACAGCCAAATTCTTTGAAAAGATAAGAGAGGAAGCCAGGCGTGGTGTGCACGCCTGTAATCCCAGCACTCAGGAGGCTGAGGCAGGAGGATTGTTGGGAGTTCAAGACCAGCCTGGGCTATAAAGTGAGCTCAAGGCCAGCCTGAACTGCATAGCGAGACCCTGTCTCAAAAAGATTAAACAAAAAAAAAAGAAGAGATAAATAGATCAAAAAGATAAAAAATAGATCAATAAGGTGTTCGGTGAGCTCAAAGAAGATATAACTAAACAGATAACAGATTTAATAAATAATCAGCAAGGCCAAGTGTGGTGGCACATGCCTGTAATCCCAGCATTCGGGAGTCTGAGGCAGGAGGATCATTGTAAGCTCGAGACCATCCTGGACTACAAAGTGAGCTCAAGGCCAGCCTGAACTGCATAGCAAGAGCCTGTCTCGAAATAAATAAATAATCAGCAAGACTAGAAGGAGACACTAATAAAAAGTTAGTTGAGCTAAACAAAATGATTTAAAAAAAAATGATCAGCATAACAAGGAATCAGAAGCCAAGAAAGGTGCAAAGAGAAATGCAGGAAATTAAACTTCTATTGAAAGTACGGGCATCAGAAGTGACCAATGTGAGGACAGAGTGCAGCACCCAAAGGTAGGAGTGCTGTGAGAGACCACTTGTTCAGAGACACCTTAAAAACAACAAGAGAACAAGAAAAACAGATCCAAAATCTGCTAGGATTAGAGTTAGTGAGAAATCAGAAACAGCACAAATGGCATAAAAAGCCTCCTTACTGAAATAAGAGCAGAAAACTTTCTAAATACAGGGAAAGAATTCAACACACAGTAAGTGAGGTATATAGAAGGCCAATTCACCACAAACAGAAAAGAAGCTCTCCACATCACATCACAGTCACATCACATCACAAAGATCAAATCCTAAAAACTGTTAGAGAAAAGCAATGAATCACTTCTACAGGTAAACACATTAGAGTTACAGCGAATTTCTCAACACAAACCCTAAAAGTAAGAGCTTGGAATGAAGTGTTGCAAGCCCTAACAGGAAACAACTTCCACCCCAAACTGATATATCCTGCAAAACTATCTTTCAGAACTGATAGAAAAATAAGGTATTTCCATGACAGAGAGCACCTTAAGAAATCCATGACTACCAAGCCAGCATTTTAAAATTTTCTTAAAGATACCCTCGGAAAGCCAGACATGGTGACTCAAGCCTGTAATTCTGGCACTTGGGAGGCTGAAGCAGGAGGATCACTACAACTTTGAGGCCAACCTGGGCTACATAGTGAACTCAAGGCCACCCTGAACTACACAGTGAGATCGGGTGAGCTGTTATGTGTGTGTGGGGATGGATCAGCAATAGGAAAATACTGCAGTGACAGGAAGAAGTCAACACCTTTCATAATAACTCTCAGTGCAAAAGGCCTCAAGGCCCCAATCAAAAGACACAGATTGGCAGAATGGACCGAGAAACAAAACCCAACAGTACGCTCTATATGATAAATACATTTAACCCAAGAAAAAATTCATAGACTAAAAATCAAAAGATAGAAAACAATATCCCACCCAATGAAAATCCAGAAACAAGCAGGAGGAGCTACAGTGATGCAATCAGTTAATGCATAGTACTTATGTTAAACAAGCAGGAGTAGCTCTCTTATTTTCAAGCAAAATGGATTTCAAGTAAAAACTGATCAGAACAGGCAAAGAAGATCACTGCATGTTGGTTAAAGGAAGAATTCAACAGGAAGAGATAACAATTCTAAACACATATTCACTAAACACCAGCACACGCCAGTTTCACGAAACAAACACTGCTGGACATAAAAGATCAGATAAACATCAATCAAATTATAGTGTGGGAATTTCAATACCCCACTGTCACAAATAGATGAATCAACTAGACAAAAAAATGAACAAATAAGTATCAGAGTTAACCAAACCTTCAAACAAATGGACTTATTAGAGAGCTACAGAATGTTCCACTTAACAATAGGATACACTTTCTTCTTAGCGGCACATGGAACTTTCTCCAAAATGTAGACTAGCTAGCCAATAAAGCATGCTTAAGTAAATGCAAAAGAATTAAAATTATCTTGTGCATATTATCAGATCATAATACAATGAAACTAAGTATAAATGGCAAAAGAAACCACAGAGATTATGTAAACATGGGAATTAAAACATGTACTCTTGAATAATCAGTGGGTCACAGAAGAAATGATGGAAGAAATGATACAGTTCTCAGAATCAAAAGATAATGCCAGTACAACACACCAGGACTTACAAGATATAATAAAAGCATTCCTGGAGGGAATTTTATAGCTGTGAATACCCACACAGGGAGAACAGAGAAAGTCCAAATAAATAATCTAGAAAAATAAGAAAATCAAAGCCCAAAGTTAGTAAAAAATAATAATAATAATAATAATAAAGTAAAGTTCAAATATTTTACTATGTCTTTTCTAAAATGATACAAAATATTAGTAAATGAAAGAGCTGGCGTTTTGAAAAAAATAAATAAATAAAATAGACAAGTCTGTAGCAAATCTTACCCAAAAAAGGAAAGAAAAGACCCAAATCAATGCAATTAGAAATGAAAAAGTTAAGTCACAATGGACACCATTGAAATCCAGGAGATTATTAAGTAGCAACTACTTTGGAAATCTGCACTTCAATAAATTGGAGAATTCAAAAGAAATAGATAGATTACTCCATACACATAAATTACCAAAGCTGAAACAAGAATGTTTTAAAACTTTGAATAATCCTATATCATGAAATTAAAACAGTAATTTAAAAAACCCACTAACTAAGAAAAGCCCACATTCTGTTGAATTCTCCAAGATCTACAGAAGATTTAATGTCAACACTCCTCAAACTCTTTAATGAAATTGAATGGAAGAAGTAATCTCAAAGTCATTCCTGGAAGATGTCATTACCCTGATTTCAAAACCAGACAAGAATCCAACCCAAAAAGGAGAATTACAAGCCAGTCTCTTTAATGAACGTAAATACAAGGATCCACAACAAATACTGGCAAACAGAATGCAGGAAATCATCAAAAAGATCAGACAGAATGTTCAAGTAGGCTTCACCCAGAGATGCAGGGACGGTTCAATATACACAAAGCAATAAATGCAATACATCCCATAAACAGAAATAAGGACAAAAATACATGGCCATCCCAATAGATACAGAAAAAAGGCTTTAACAAAATCCAAACCCATTCATGGTAAAAACTCTGAACAAAATTGGTATAGAAGAACTTTATCTGAATTTGATAAAAACCATTTATGACAAACCTACTGCCAATATTATATAAATGGGGGAAATGTGATTCCCTCTAAAATCAGGAACAAGAAAAAATGTCCACC